AACTTGCAATAATCCTCTTGCTCCAGCTTCCTGAGTTCTGAGACTACAAGCATGTGCCACCGTGCTTAGAGAATGTCTGGAAAACTTTAGAGGCAAGGTCACTTGCATCTAGATATTTCTAAGTGGTGTAGTTATTATTTAATTTCTTTATTATTAATTAGACATTCTGTTCCTCGTATATACTGTTTGGTACATTGTAGTTTTCTAGATTTTTTTCATTGCTTCTGACTTTTCAGGATAATTGTTCATATTATTGATTCATTTTTCGTATTTGTAATGTCTATAGTGTTGACTGTTCTCATTTCTACGGTTAGTCACCGTATTTCTAGCCATCTCTTCCCTTGACACTCTTCCTTGCTGTGATTTCATCATTAGTCTTTTCAAAGCAACTATTTTGAGATTTATTGATTCTTTTCATTTTCCTTTCCTTTCTGCTTTATTATTTTATGTCTTTTTTATTTCCTTTTCATATTTGTTTGATTTGGTTTAATTTTTCTAGGTATTTAAGATGGGCAGTTAGGTCTTTCCTTTATAATCTTTGTTCTTATATATCTACTTAATATTTAAAAATTCTATCAAAGCATCATTTTAATTATATTCCACATCTTTTAATATGTTGTTTTATTATTTATTTCAAAATATTATTTGATTTATTTTATGATTTAATCTTTGGCCTGTGGGGTATTTAGAAATGTACTGCTCAATTCTCAAACACTTGAAGACATTATGATTATTTTGTATTATTCTCTTCTAACTTGTTTTTCTGTATTCAAAGAATATACTGTATTATTTCAGTCTTATAAAATCTGTTGAAAATTTATTAAAGTTCTAATATAGATTAATGCTTTTACTGGTGCCAGATCTTAAATTGGTCAATTTTCACAAGGATTGATGTATCTTTGAATGGTTTGTGTATTTTGAATTTATTGAGGACAGATTGAAAATATCAATTTAATGAAGGATGAAATAAAGTTGGATAATCAGTTGTTTACATCTTCTAGTTTCTGGATTATTTTTGTCTACTTGTTTCACTCGTTTTTTAATATAGTAACATGTTCTAAAATAATTATGGGAGGTTTGCTTATTTTTCCTTTTAATTTTATGAGTTTTGTTTTATACATTTTCATGCTACCTTATCAGGTTAATATGTACTTAGAATGAATATCTAAGTAGATACATCTGTATCTGTGTTTATGTGTATATACCTATATCTATCTAAATACTACACACTTGGTATTTCTTTTTTGTTTTATTATTCTGACAATCTTGTCTTCTAATTGAAATAGTACATTTCTAACATAAACATAAAATATTTGGATTTAAATTGAATGCTTTAATATTTGATACTTATTTGTTCTACTTCAGTTTTTTTATCATTCAGTTTCCTTTTGTGTTTTTTCTTGCAATTTCCTTGGAATAAATATATGTATTTATCCCATTTTATCTCTTTTTATGGCTTTTTGGATAAACATTCTTTGACTAATCTTTCAGGAGCTACCTTAAATTACTCACATCAGTCACTTTGTTAAAGTTCTAATATAGATTAGTACTTTCCCTGGTGCCAGATCTTCAATTCTGCTAACTTCATTTGTTGTCTGTCATTCACTTGCATTTTTAACTGTTTCTTTAGATTGACTTATTCTGAACTTTACACTGCACCAGAAATGATTATACTTTTTCTATAAAGATAATGTTCTTTAATCACCAACACATTTACTTTTCCTATCACTCTTTCTTCCTCCTGTTATCTGCTAGTTTTACTCTGGAAATGATGGAATTTGTTCTTCCGGGAACTCTCCATTAATAATGAATCTACTGCCAACAGGAACACATTTTGAAAGTGTTTTCATTTTGCTGTCATTTTGAAAAGATATTTTCACTTTGTATAACTATTAAAATAAGTCTCGGTGGAGCAGTTGGAAGATGTTTTACTGTGTTCTGGTTAATTCTGTTGAAGAGTGATTAGTCCTGTTAGTCATTTAGTTTTCACTACTTTTATGTGTTTTCTTTTAATATATTGTTTTTCAGCAATTTGATTAGATGTCACTTTAATTTTACTTATTCTGTTTGAGTTGACAGTGGATCTTGTTTGTGATTTGTTTTTCCACTGATTTATGAAAATTCTTGAATATTCTTTCATGCATTATTTTATTTTAAATTATTTGCTGTGCTGTTTTATTTCAAATTATCCTCTTTTCTTCACTGTCCTGGATTATGCATATGTTCAACTTCTTTATTTTGCCTCATATAGTTCATTTGTTTTCCGTTTTTCCATTCCCTAGTCTCTCTAGTCTTCTACGTACATTAATTGTACCTTCATATACTTAGTTTACAATCTTTTAATTGTATTGGATTCCAGAGCTGTGTATTATATTCTAAGCTCCAACTGCTGTATTTTCAGTAATACAATTTCCATCTGTTTGTTAAAAAGCTTCTTCTCTGTTAATGTTCATGTTCTCAATTTTCTTAAACATAGTGATTACAGTTTTATTAAAGTTTATTCCTAATAACTATAATATCTACTATAGTTCTGATTATACTTTTTTCATGGTCTTTAGTCATTGGTCTTTTCTGTTTTTATGTGTGATAATGTCAGATGTTATGTCAGATATTCCTTAGAAAATCTTTAGAGAAAATTTGAGTGTCTAGATTTTTTTAACTTCTTACAGAAAAGATTTTCCTTTGCTTCTGGAAGTTATGTTAGTGGCAAGTAATTTTAATCAACATCATGTTTTGTTCATTTGGTAGTTGTTTTTTGTTTTTTGTTTTTTTTACATGTGTGTGGAATTGGAGAATGGTAATCACTTTTGGTTATGGTACTTTGACTAGTCCTTTCTCATACTTGGCAACCTTCCACATATCCCGCCTGAAATCATGTTTACCGTGGTTCTTCCTTCATGGTGTTCCTTGAATACCAGTTTTGTTTGCCATCCTTTTTGAGAAAGTAAAAAATCAATCCAAAACTTCAAGTCCTGCTTGCCAGCAAATGATTTGAAGGAAAAAGAAGAAATGAATGCTAGGCTTTCGATCTGTTGTATCTCCCAATTCTCAAGTCATCTTTGTGTTGATAAATATCCAGAATTTTCAACAGATTTTTATCTCCCTGTCTCATCATCTTTTGTACTTGTTTCATGAAAGTAGAGAGAGTTGGGTACTTTTCTCTTGTTGCTGAGACAAATTACCCAACTTCCAAAATTAGCGAAGAAAAGGTTTATTTAGCCAGATTTTGAAGGTTTCAGTCCATACTCAGCTGACTCCAAGGCAGGGTGGCATGACTGAGGGGCAACCGTTCATGGTGTTTGCAAGCAACAAGAGTGAACAGGGCAAAAAAGGGGAAGCTCGCCTCCTTCCCTCTGGATGGGTGCTGTACTCACACTGCCAATCCCAGACAATAAACCAATCACAAATGCTATACTTAGCTGCCTCCATGATGGCATGAGGCTTTGGGGAGCGATTTAAATAAACCACAACAGTAATAGTTCATCTATAGTTGAAGGAAGAGCGGCAAAGTCCATATTCCTATCAGTGCCATACACTGCCCTTTAACAGGTAAAGAGAGATCATATTCACTCCTCCCAGAATTTATATTCTAGTTTAGAGAAAATTTATGGAGAACTTTTCAAGTAGTAAAATATTACCATGTATTTATACACTAAATTATGGAATATTTGAAATTTCTGAGATCATCAGCACTGTAAACTAATTTTATGCCCTAAATGAATGAGATAGACAATTCTTTTTAAGGAAACAAGAGACATTGTTGATAACCATTGTTGTTAACCTTGTACTCTGTTTTACATCATGTACTATGTCTATCCTTGGTTTTGACTGACAGCTTTGTTTTGCCATATTTGACTTTATTCTCTCCCCCCCCAAAAAAGTAATAAGAACTAAGGAGTAATAAAACCCAAAATGTGTAAATTTTGTTGTAAAAAAGAGAGGGAAAAAAAGAGCTCTAAAGAAAACAACAGCAAGTGTGTTTAGGGGTGTTAAATAGCTGACCATATTAATGTTTTTGGTTGTATCATTGAACACAACTGTTTGCAGTCTCTCTGTTTGAATGTCCACTTTGTATGCTTTGATACTGTGATTTGAGCAACCATCTCTAAGACGATAATATGTAATCTATTAACTGGTGACTTCTTACTGTTTTTTTTTTTTTTTGTAGTTCTGTATTACGTGTACCCTTACACCGCTTTGTTTTGTTTTGTGTTTTTCTCTTTTTCCTTTTAAATAAAATTAAAAAAAAGAAAGCAGAATGTCCTGGGTTGTCAACAAATAGGATGTATTTGTATTTTGGACAAGGAGCAACATTCAAATGTAGATTCCATCCAATCTAGATACCCCTAGAGTAAAATCTAAGCCAGATTTGCGTGGTAACTTATGAGTGTTGGGTTAGCCTTTAAGGTGCTCAAGGAAGCGAACTTTTCTTCTCAGAAGAGGGAAGGGGATGGGATCAGATGAGAGCAGCACAGACTTCGGATTTAGATTTAAATCCTGAAGGAACAAGTTGCTTCTTACTGTTTATTCTACTTGTCCATCAAATGAGAATGGTAATTATCTCATAGGATAGTGGCAAGTGCTAAGTAAGTTATAAAATAACTAGTTGCATAGGCACCGTATATGCATTCATCAGTGAATGAATGCTGTGATCTCTTAAATAAAAACTTTGTATTCACCAGTTTGCTTTCCTCCTGGAAATCGTGTGAGAGAGAAATTTCCCAGCAATGATCCCTTGAGAGATATGATGGAATTGGTAATGGTAACTAATTGGTATGCTGATAAATACCACAAAATATTCAGAAATATTTATAGAGTATTCCGTGTAGGTTATGGTGGTTGTTTTAAAGGTGAAGTGTTCGGTGAGACCAGTAAAACAACTGCTCTTGCAGGAAAAGTTGTCAGTGTGGAGGTAATATCAGGAATCAGACTGAAGCCAATGTAACAGTGAAGCAGGGTTCTCATGAATTGTAACTAATGTCTCTTTTCTGTTATACCAGTGAGAAGAAGCTCATTACTGATGCCCTTAACAGAAACCAGTTTCTGAAGAGACTGGACCCTCAGCAGATCAAAGACATGGTGGAGTGTATGTACGGGAGAAGCTACCAGCAAGGCAGCTACATCATTAAGCAAGGAGAGCCTGGAAACCATATTTTTGTGCTGGCTGGTAGGTTTCACAGATTTTTCCAGTTATCACATGTAGTCTTAAGGCTTTTTGTAAGCATCATAACTGTTTGCTCTGTAATAAAATGTAACAGACTGAATTAATGAAATGGTGGTACTATTGATCTCATAATAATGATTGAGTGCTTTTTTGCATATCAGAAATCTTTGCACATTAGCAGAGAGACTTTATTTTATTTTTTCACTGGTTTTGTAAGGCAAGGGTTGTTATCTCCATAAAGGCTATGACTCAGAGAAGTTGAGTGACTTACCCAGAGCCACACAGTACATAGGAGTGGTGGAAGTAACATGCAAATTCAGGCAATCTGACTTAAGAATATATTTTCAATCACAGTGTCATTCATTTAAAAAAAGCCTTTTCTGCTAAAAATTCAGCTTTTTGTGTTGATAGTTTTAGTTAATTGTACCAGGAAAAAAAAGTACTTTGTCATTCTGGAAATTATTTCAAATATCACCTATGTATCTATCTATATATCTATGTCTCTATCAGTAATTTCAAAGAATAATTTAGGTACATGTAACCAATTGAGAAATCAAATAGAATGCCTTACAACTCACACCAAGAGTATTAGAACAATTTAAGTGGTTTCCTTTTTTTGTCATTACATGAACATGCTTATATGCTGGGAGAAGGTACCAGACAGATAAGTGAAAGATTTATTTTTGAATTGCATAGATATTATAATGAATACTCAGTTTTTTTCTTTAGTTACAGAAACAAGAAATTATCTAAATAGGGATTAAGGTTATTGAATGGTTCATCAAATTCTCAATTGTCCCCAAGGTTTTCAGTCTTAGGAAAAATGTTAAATGAGCTTACCCAGATGTTGTGCTAACCTCAGTTATGCTATGGTCTACTTTACATTATAGTTTCTAGTAATATAAGTGATATTTTTGTTCTTATTTCCTTAGGGTCTTTGTATGGGGCAAAAGCTGCCTATCTAAACAAATCCATACATGCATGCAATCCAATTTGTAGGGTAAAAATATTATTTTCATACACTGGTTCTTAAAACATGTATGTTTTTATAATTATTTGGCTATTGTTTTCCATATAATCATTATAGGCAACTTTAAAATGATATGGTTATTCCCAAGTAATTATTCTATTCAAGTAGTGAATTACAATCTTAATTTAGCTGGTCTTCAATTTTATAGTCTTGCAAATTTTTTCTTAGCTATTTCCCATTTTTGTAGCAAGGCTAGAGCATTTTGGCAAGAGAGATAGGTCATTAAGTCCACAAATATTTATAGAACCTGTTAGGAGATTGTGAGACATTTGTGTCAGCCCATCTTGTTCCTTGCCAGTAGTTCTGATGAAAGGCAGGGGGAGAAAAAAGTTTGAACAGACATCAGCATTGATGCAGCTATTGGGATCAGGGCAATGGTGCACGTGGAAATGAAAATTGGATAGTTTCTTGTATGAATTAATTAGAGTGTCATCTAAGGACTGAATTGCCTGGTTTAATTATCTGGCTGAGAAAATTAATTTGATAATTAAAAATCTTCCCTTTATAAAATCAAGCATGAATAATAAACAGCTCACACATATTTAGCCTAAAGTTTTAATATTCCACATAATTCTTCAATGTCAAGTCCCACGAGCCATAACCAATTAGAAAAATTCCTTGGAAAGAATTCAAGTCCAAGGTATTAACTAAACAGTACCAACAAGTGACTTTGTGAATTAGAATTTACTATAATGAGAAATTACGAAATTGCAATTATAACCTGTAGAATTTGGAGCCAAAACAAGTGTTATTTTTTACTTACAGGAGTATAAATTCCATCAGAATAGATATTTTTTTTCTCTGCTATCTACTCTTGTTCTGGCATCTGGAACAGACCCTGGCACAACACAGATACTCAGAGCAGATTTGTTGAAAGAATGGATGGACAGAGATGATCCAGCTACTGAATGGTGAATTAGGGAGAAAAAAAAAACATTAATTTTTTTTCAGACCCCCAAGTTTTTCTTTCTCTAAGAATCTACATATTTTTGCTTTTCATTTAGGTTGGATAAAATTTTGTTTGAAGGGAGAGGAAAGGAGAGCTTCCAGGGCAAAAGAATTGCAAGAAGGCTTCCCAAGGCTTTCCTCTTTCTTCCTCTAATATTTACCTAGGTACAGCAAGTGCCAGTCATTTTTGTGAGTGACTTTTATGACTGATAGGTGCTACATGTTAAGGGATGAGAGATCAGGTAACAGTGGAGGACCATGAATATAATTCCTTTGCAGTCGTGCAGCCAACAGCTAATTTTCAGTGCGTACTGTGACAACTGAGTTTTCAAGACATGAAGCATGTTTGTAAGACTCCTAGAAGAGAGAAGCAGCTTTAGCACACATTTTACATAGAGCAGAATGAACTTTAAACAAAACACTTGCCATCCAATCCACTGCTTCAGGGGAAGAGCTTTGCTGCAATGATAGCAATATTAACAATCTCTAATATTTACACACCATTAATTGCACCCTACCCTTTGTGTTATGTTCTCTGCTCACATTAATTTACTTATCATGGCAAATATATGAAGTAAATATTGCTGTCTCCATTATCAGTGAGGAAGTTCATGCAGAGTGTAAATTTCGCAAGGTGAGTAAGTGGCAGAGATGGTTAGGGGTGGCACTAGAAGCCACAGTATTATAAGAAGACTCATACAATAGCTTACCTGTATATTTTGTATATTTCTATTTTTATTTTAGTTTATGGAACCCAGGTAGAGTTTGATTATTTGTCTTTTTCTTCAATTTTATTTGATAGAGGGTCAACTAGAGGTGTCCCAAGGAGAGAAGTTGCTATCATCCATCCCGATGTGGACCACATTTGGGGAACTAGCCATTTTATACAACTGTACAAGGACAGCATCTGTGAAAGGTAACAGATGAAAGGCTCTTCTTTGAATTGTTATGCAGTGCTAAGGTCATCCTACATCTGCATCCTAATCTAGGCTTTTTGATTCATTTTTTGTACCAAATGCTATTTTCAATAGAAATTCTATGCTATAAGAGGTTTTATATGACTCATTTATCTAAATCAACTATAAAAGAACCTTTTCTCAGATACCCATCCCTATGAAAATAGCTGTAAATTGAAACGATCCATTATTTCTCTAACTGCTATTGTACTTTTTACCATAGACATCTGCTTTCATGCAAAGTTTGCTTTCTAGTATCTGTGAGATTATGTCCATGTTATAAGCCAGAAGATTTAAAAATAAAATAACACAAATGAAAATATTTGAACATCATATCAAAAGAGATGTGAACCAGAGCAATGAGCATTTTCGTGAAACACTTCAGAATTAGCTTACATTTTTTCCCTAGGGATTCCAATTTTTATTGATTTTGTTCATGAAAATGTTGAGTTTTCTCCTGAGCAGTTCAGATGTGGTATTGCTCAGTGTTTGGGACTGTGTTACATGCATTAAAATTGCTGAGGTATTTTTGTACCCAGAACTTTCCTAGAGATCCTTAAAATATGTTAGATTGCTTTTGCTATGATGTCTAAACAACATAAAAACATATACATACACACAGATCTTATTTCCAGTTACTTGCTTGTGAAAGCAGGTTAACTGGCCTTCTCTAATCTTACAGTAGGGATTTGAAATTCATCTGATGATGTACATAATCAAGAATTGCAAACTCATTTGAATATCATCCTAACAAAAACATACTTAGAAAAGAAATCTTCAGCTACCCACTTCCAAATCATGATACATTTCAAAGCCAACATAATTTATAAAATTTGTCACTATTTATTTTGCTTCTTCTTTCCATTTGCATGTTTATATAATGCATTTCCAAGTAATGCAAATTTACAGTTTGTTTTAGTACCTTTTCTCATCGCTGTGACAACACACCCAGCACTTAAAGCAAGAAAAGTTTATTTGACTCACATTTTTTAGTGGTTTCACTTCACAATTGTCTGGCTTCAAGGTAAGGGTGGTATAGTAGAGGTACACCACAGAGGAGAAACAGTACATAGAGTGCAGAAGTGAGCCACAAGTGACCCTCTTTTTGTCCCTTATATTTTATCCAGGCTACTCACCCTTAGGATGGGCAGTGGACACAGCCAGGGTGGGGCAGCCTTCATCCTGGCATCACACCATGCACTGCATTCTTGATCCCAGCAGTCTGTACGCTAGATCCTGCCACCTCCAAATAGCCCCAATTATGACCACATGAAGCTTTGGGAGACATCTAAATACAAGTCATAGCACTGATTAACACTTTGGAGTACTTTTTAAATGTATTGCAAATCAATATTTTATTATTTTCTTGATTTTTCTAAAGCTGTTACCAATGTTAAAACATGGGCACTAGATCGAGAAGTTTTCCAGAACATTATGAGGAGGACAGCCCAAGCTAGAGATCAACAATACAGAAACTTCCTCCGAAGGTAAGTGTAACACAGTGAGGAAAGAGCACAGCTGATGACATAGGACGCATATGCTCAGAATAATGATTTTTTATATATTCTCCAATTTAAGCATTTTAAACATTATTAGACCAAGTAGTCTCTTATGTTAAATGCCCTGTGTCTTAGTTACTTTTTACTCGTTGCTGAGACAAAATACCTGAAGCCCAAAGTTGAGAAAGGAAAGGTTTATTTCTTACAGTTTTTGGATGTTTCAGTCCGTACTCAGTTGGATCCAAGGCAGGGTGGCATGGCTGGGCTGCAGTTCATGGAGGCTGCAAACAGCAAGGGGGAAACTGGTAAAAAAGAGCGAGACACACCTTCTTCCTGCCATTATATTACATCCTGCCTCCACCAGGTGTAACACTCACACCCCCAATCCAAGTGCTAGACAATGAACCAATCACAAATGCATAATGCAAATGCATGAGGCCTGGGGGCCACAGACATAAACCATGACACCCTGCAAAGAAATGTATCAAAGATTTTATTTACTTTTCTTTTTTTAAATTTTATCTTAAAGAGATTAAGACAAAAGAGGACAGAACAAAGCAGATTGGAACAGAACAATGTAAGCACCACAGCACTTCACTACAAGACAACTGGATATTAATAGTAGCTACCATAATGTCTCTTTCTTTGAAATAGTTGAGCATACCTTCACATACAATAGTATCAAACATAACAAAATAGTATTAAACCATTCAAGAGAATGAAAGTATTATAGGGCATTCAGAACCAAATAACAGAAAAAATTTGTTTATACTATTGCATATGTTAAAATCCAGTAAGACACAACATGATAGAACCAATGGAAACAGAAGGACAAAAGCATGGATTTACTTTTCATATATGAAAATTGTATTTAATTAACTTTGTAAACTGGTTATTTCTTCCACTAATTTTTGCCCTCATATCAAATGGCCTGTGTTAGCTACTTTTTTTGTTGCTGAGACAAAATATCTGACACCCAAAATTAAAGGAGAAAATGTTCATTTAGTTTACCGTTTGTAGAGGTCCATATTTGGTCAGCTGTCAGGCAAGGTGACATGGCAGAGAGATGTCACAAAGGAGAAACAGTTCATGGCATAACAGGGAAGGCAGAATGTAGCAAGCAGCAAGCAAATGACAAGCCACCATAAGAATCCCTTTCTGTGTCTTATATTTTATCCAAGCTACCCACCTTAAGCATGAGTGGGGCACCCATTATCCAACCTGGAACTATGCCAAACTATTCAATGAACTGATTTAGTAACCAGACACCATTAATCCCAGTGTCACACACTCTAGATGCAGTCACCTCTGAAAATCCCCCACCTATTACCACATGGGGAAAGATACAAACCAAGATACAAAAGATACAAAGGACTCATAGTATGTAGAACAGAAAAATGTGGAAAAACACTAAAAGAAATTCACCGGGCTTGCTCATTTGTCTTTGAAAGACACCTGAAATTTGAAAGAGGATACCAACTAGATAACCCTTCTAGTAATATTTTTCTTATGATAATAATACAATTTATTTATTTTACTATTCTTTTACTTGAGATATTTTTTTCTTCATTTGAACAGTCAAACAATTTTTTGTACCAAATTAACTTCTCAAAAATGTTGCTGTACTTATCTTGAGGACATGGATCCTTGGAACACATTCATTTTGTAGAATGTTCTGTACCTCAACAACTTGACTACAGCAATTTATATGGAAACAAATGTCTGTGTAATTTAAAAAGCAAGCTCCAAATTGAAGAAATGTTTTGAGTCTAACTTCATTACTTAAACTATTTTTGTGTATTGGTGAGAGTTTTGACAGTCTCAGAATCTGTAATGCATACTATAATGAAGCCTTAACACCTGCGATGTTCTACTGATTAACAATGTGTTCTTTCACTGTTTAGTCCAAAAATAAATGGTAAATTATTCTTAAGTCTTGTATATTCTGCCTTAAATGTAAGGAATTTAAATAATCTACTAGTGCATATTTCTTCTTTCCTTTTGTTATTTGATTAGTTTATTCATTTATTGACAGGCCTAAAAATCATGGATTTAGTGATGAACAAGATAAACCTGATCTCTGCCTCCCTAGAGGGAATATAGACTAAGATTTCTCTTCATATCTGTTTCTCTACCATTCCTACAACGGGAAACGTTTATATTAACATTATAGAGTTAAGTTTGGACCAGCAATAAAACTTTCATAAGAGTTTGTATTAACCAATGACAAATTTTGGTTTCCTTTTTAATAGTTCAGTAACAGAGATATATAAAAAGGAAGTACATTTTTCTTTTTAAAAATAATATACAGCAAACATGTCTCTATTTACATTTTTGTTACATATAAAGTAGGTGATATATATGATATGTAGTCTGTATATGATTTACAAAAGATCATAACACCAGCAAATTCACTACTGAGTATACATCCAGAGGAAATAAAGTCAGTGTGTGAATGAGGCATCTACTTTCTCACGTTTCTTGCAGCACTATTTGTAAGAGTCAAGAAATGAAAACATAAGTAAACAGCCACCAGTTTATGGTTAAACATAATGTAGTATACACACACACACACACACACACACACACACACACACGCACCCCCACCTCCACCTTCACAGAGTGGAATATCATTGAGCCATAAAAAGAATCAAATTCTGCCATTTGTTACAACGTGGCTTGAAATGAAGATCATTATGTCACATGAAATCGACTGAGCACAGAAAGACAGTACTGCATTATCTCACTCACATGTGGACTCTAAGAAAGTTCATCTCATAAATGTTTAGGGTAGAATGGTGTTACTAGAAGCTGGGGAGAGAAGGAAAGGGAAGGATGGGGAAAGAAGTTTCATTAAAGTTATGTGTAGAGCAGAGCAAGAATTTCTTTGTGCAACTGCATAGTAAGATGACTACATATCATGGTGATGTATACTTAACAAGACCAGAGGAAAGAATTGTGAACATTTTTACCATTCAGAAGCAATAAATATTTAAGGAGATAAATGTTCACCTTAATTTAATTTTTTCACAGTGCACAGAAACACCCCTTAGTATGTACAGTTTTTATATATTAGTGAAAAATAATTTTAAAGGAAAAAGTCTACAAAATAAATATGTATGAAGTTGCTGCTCAACCTAAAGAATAGAAAGTTAGCTGTACTATTGATATTCTCATGGTTCCCACAGGGCACTTTCGACCTCCTGTTCCCCTTTTCCTCGGAAGTAGTCTGTATCAAGTTTAGTGATCATTTCTTTAGTATAATTTATAATTTTATCTCTAGCTTGATTTAACCTACTTTCAACATTCATAAAAATGGTATTATTTTTGCCACTGAATTTTTGGCTCAGTATTTTTTCTAAGATTCATTTCTTCTGTTGGAGAGCACTGTTACCTGACTCTGTCATTGTGTATTTATCTTTCTCCCATTGGTGCTTGTGCCAGGGTCTTCCAATTACAAGCGATTCTGGTGCAAACGTTCTTACACGTCTTGGCATCGTGCCCCCTGGTACATGTGTGCAGGAAAACTTGAGACTGAGCTCCCTGCCTTTACAAAATCAGAACTGATTATACATTTTTGAAGTAAAATTATTTTTCCCACATGAGTGTTAAAATAATTATCTTACAGAAATTGTACCAATAGACCTGAATAAAAATAGGTGCAGTAGAATTTTTTTTAAAGAACAACTTAAAAAATGGGTTAATCATACTGAAATTTCTGAACTTTTACAATAAAACATCAGTGCTCTGTTTCATTTTCTGTATTTTATTATCTGCAAAAATGTTTCTAGGATATGCCTCTGGCTCGCATTGATTTCAAAAGTTAGTGTAGTATGACTAAGAATCAAAAATGATTTCAATGCTAATTCTCACATTTCTGCTGGAGTCAATCTTTACTTAATTACAAGGAGTTAAGTGAAACTGTGATCCCTCACTGGAATCAGAGATGTTTACCAGGGATAATAGCAGAAATATTAAAACAAGGAAAGGAGTACATTTTCAGATATGATTCACTTTTAAAACCAACAAAGAATATAAAATTATTTTTCTTCCAAATAGAATGTGATTTACCCTTTGTAATAGTGTGGTATTTGCCCTGCTAAATGTAAAGGTTATAGTATCTAATTTGTACTAAATGAAGTTGTGTGTTTCTAGTTATTTGAAGTTTTACTTTTTAAAATTTTGATTTTCATTAGTATATGTCTGTAATGCATAGTGATTACATTCCTCTTGGGGAGATGTGAGTAACACATCTTAATTCAATTTACTTCCTCTTCAGTCCACTATTTTCCCTTCCTTCCATCTCTTGGTCCCTTTCTCATTTGCAAAATAAGATTTACTTTGGAGAAATTAAAATGCATGTAATTTTTAAATGAATATAAAAGTTTTGGAACTTGCACCTTTCTATGTGTATTTATATTTTAATTCAGGAAGGTAATAAAGATTTCTTTTTAATTTTGAAGTGTGTCCTTACTGAAGAATTTACCTGAAGATAAACTAACCAAGATCATTGACTGCTTGGAAGTGGTAAGAGATTTTAAAGTAAAAAGTAAATTTCATTAGAAGATTTCTAGTTGTTGTATGAGCACTGCAAATGAATTCAAAGAAGATTGTAGACCACCAGTCTACACAGATCAGAGGCTTTTTCTATTGTAAAATTCTTAGGCCAGCTCACCCTAAATTATGGGACCAGAAGGGGTGGCCTTTTCAAAAATGTATAAAAGGAAATTGGATTTGCATGTGTAAAGTGAAATTTGATTGACATATTTTAATCTTTTTAGTATATTCTATAAAACTAATCTGCCTTACTCAACAAGCATTTGATTTTCTACAATTAACATCACAGTCCATTTACAAGAGCTTTCCCAGTATAAAGGAGGCAGGGAGGCATGATTAGGAAATGGAGCACAGAAAGGCTATGTTAGTGATTTTGGTGACAGGACTCTGAATCAGACTATGGAACATTCTATACTTGAACACTCTAGGCCACTAAATAAATTTTAAGAAATTGTACTCAAGAAACACTTAACCTATTTTAATATCTAGAGGAAAACAGTGTATTGGAATGTGTTCAAAAATTCATTTTAGGCATCACACAGATGGCTGGTTTTAGTCCAAGCTTCATCAAGTCTTTTTGTGAACAATGCTTTTATGACATGTACCTTGAATTCTAATGCTACGCATTTTATGAAAACCTTTTCAGATTGCAGAGATTAAAATTCAGAGCAAATAATCCCTCACATTCTCTTGGAGGCTCGAAACCAAAATGATTTCTATAGAATTTAAAGGAGGTGGGGAATGGTAAAGAAATCACTTCAACTCTTTAAGCTTTTATAGAGCTGTTTTCAGGGAGAGGAAATCTTTTTAAAAAGCTCAACAGGACTAATTGTTGACAGATTCATTCCTCTGTCTATCACAGCGTACAGTGTAAAGTAATATCTGTTGGGGTGGGAGCAGGGACAATTCTATCCTTAAGTGTAAGTGACACTAATAATGTTTCCATTTCAATTTGTGGAACTCATCCAGCAATTTATCAAAGGCAGGCCATGATGACACACAGTGCCTGGCCTTGTGCTCCCAGGGGCTCAGATATGAAGTCATTTTCAAAAAGACAGCCTTCCCCTCCCCTCTTGGGATTTTCCCAATGTAATGTAAACCAATCACAGATGTTACAAATTAATAATTTATCCTAATTTCTAAGGGTATGTTTAAAGCTAGAGAGGCTCTATTTTTTTGTTAACCAAGGAAATCTGTTTTTAATATAATACTAATAGAGTAGATTTACCAGAAGGGAATTCCATGCTGACAGCAAATATGAGAATTTAGTATCATTAAATATGAATGCTAAATTATACATTTTTATGGCAGCCACAAGCAATAACTACAGAATATGTAGGTGGGGGCTCAAATGCAGTATTAATTAACACACAATTCAAGCTTGAGTCTCATCTTTTAAAACAAGTTAGAAAAGCTTTATTATATCTAAGCATTTGGAGACAGAAACACAGTTTATAAAGGGCTCCTTATTCATACGTGGTAAACAAATGTGTCTCTGTAATGTGCAAAAATTCTCAGATGCAAAAAGTGATCACCAAGGGAGCGATGGAATCTGGATAGCTCTAGGAAAAGCACATCACTTACCAGCGTAGATTGGCTCCAGGACCCTTCAACCTGGTCCTGACCCTAGTCAATTCCTAGTGCCCTGATACTAGGACAGAGCACCTACAGGTTTGAGGACCAGTGATCCCACAAACCCACTCTGTCATCTTTAAGGAAAACAGGTAGAATCTGTCATGCATTTTGTGCAGGACTGTGATTTGGGAGGTGTGTGTGTGTGTGTGTGTGTGTGTGTGCATGGGGGAGGGAGGTTAAAACTTCCTGTCACCAAGCAGTTGAACTGATGTCTGTAATGTAGATGGCTGCACTTCTAGAAGAATAGCCCCTACAGTCCAGTGGTACTTTCTTGTCACAAATCACATTCCTGCCTTGAAGTCCACCTCAGGGAGAAGTGTAGTTATGGATGATAACACAAACCACAGTGTGGTTGTTGCATCTCTCAAGCACAGAGTACTAAAGATGGGAGAGGAGAGGATGAACCTTCTGGTCCTACACACAGAAATCAGTGCAAAAGCCCAGAGTCGGACTGTGGTGTCCTGAATCGTAAGTGCTAGAATCAGCCAGGAAGTCGCCTGGTGCTCTAGTATTTTTTTTTTTTTTTCTTTTGGTCTTTTTCCTTTTTATCGGTACCAGGGATCGAACTCACGACTGCCTGCTTGCAAGGCAGGTGCTTATGCCACTGAGCTAAATCCCCAGCCCCAGGTGCTCTAGTATTTGACCTCGCAGCCCTCTACACTGATACTCTGACTCACAAAGCCAGTTACAACAGTTGGTTGAGGGTGGAATAGGGTGGAATGACCCTGATTCACATGAGCCACCCCACCTCTACCAAAGTGGAGAGTGATAGGAGCCCCAGATTCCCATTTTTAGCAGTTATGAGATTCTTATGCTCATTAAAGCTTCTTGCCCCCCAGTACTAGGAATCTGGCGATAGATTTGTACTTAGCTACCTATTCCACGGGCCTTTTCTTACTGTTTATTTTGAGACAAGTTCTCCCTAAGTTTCTAATTTGCCCAGTCTGGACTAGAATTTGTGAACTTGAGATCCTCCTTCCTCAGCCTGTCTAAGGGCTGGGATTACAGAACCACACCACGTCTACCTCCCATTTAGTATGAGAAACACTGATTTGTTTAGAAATAGGGTACATATATTCAGAGTTTGCCACAGTCGGCCTCTTGATTCAGGCATTTTCCATTTTTAGTCATTTTTTCCAAAATCTGGTCTTTCTTAAGAGTCCCTGCTAACACTTGCATATGCTAGAGAGTTTTTCATATTTGAATAATGACACCCAGAGTGGTGAGAAAGTGGAGATACTTTATGGACCAGCGAATTGAACATGGGACAGCTGGGAATTGTAGAAGGTCCACTTGTTTGCAGTCTGGAAATCAGGGTTTGTGGCCCTTCCTCTGTCACTCCCAGCTCTCAGTTAATTGTGTGAGCATTAGCGTCTCCTCACTTACAAAATATGGAGGCCACGGGCCATTACATTGGTAACGTTACAGAATTCTATATAGTTGGCTTAGCTAGTTGGTCTGTTAGGAATAATTTCTGTTGGTTTTCCTTTTGTATGATCTAGTTACTTGAAAATAACAATTCTGAGACTACATTAATGCTAAATGGCTGATAGGGCCCACCCAATCCAGTCATGTTTGCTTTAAAGTTTCTAAACTGTTTTAACTCTTTTACTGGGGGGAGGGGGGAAACTGGTTACAACTTAATACTTGTAAGCATTTTTTTTTAAAAAACAACAAATTTGGGTACCTGTTACATGATGGTGTGGAGGGGTGTGTATGTATGTGTGTATTTTACATCTGGTTGTATAGCATCAATACTTTTGTGAAATAAAGATTTTTAGCTGAAGACTGTAGAAAACTGTAGAGGAATTCTAGCCTTGCCTCTGTTTTAATTTCACCCCCTTGGAGTTTTCTTCTGATTTTATAAAATTTTTATCTACCTTTGGCTGGATTATCATAGAATAATCATTTGCCTTGTAATGAAAAATAAACTCTTTGCATCTTTAGCTAGTGCTGTTTGTTTACATAATTTCTTCTGCCCTCTACCTGTTTATCCTAAAATGAATTTCATTTTCATTTTATTTCTTTCTTTCATTCATTCATTTTCTTTCTTATTTATTTTTATGATACAATAAGTAGCTCTTCTGAAGATATCTAGACATCTTTCAAAACATTCTTTTCAGGTTGTAGATCACAAAGCACCACAGAGCATAGAACCAATTTAATGGAATTTTTAAAAAAAAGAAACAGAATAGTTATTCTGTATTATAAATAAAATAAAAATAAAAAGTATTATTTTGAAAAATGTTTTCATTTTATATACATGCCTGTATGTACATACACTCTTGTGTGTGTATTGGATGTATATCTAAAATGTATTTCTTATGGTAAGTCAGAGTAAAAAAAGATATGTGCACATCATGGCTCTCCTGGATAGAATCTAGGGCTTCTCGCTCCTCTAAGGGACCCCTTTGCAGTGTAACCACAACGACAATAACCACACTGTTTGCATTTCCCTTTTTGGTCCTGGTGACCACCCTGGCTTGACTGGCTACACTCCTCAGTTGGCAAACACTGGGCAGTCTAGTATCACAGCCAGTACTTACCACTATATATTTTTGGTCTGACCTATTTCCACAGCTTTTTCTGATCTATGAAGCTACTGTCAACACACTGGGAGGTATTATTTATCTTCCTTCCATGGTTTTGGGTGACAAAGAATCATCCCGGCAAAAGTACCCAACAAGAAGGTGTCCCTTACAAAACAGTAATGCTCTTTTTCAGTGTCCTGTTGCAAACGTTTCCCCTATGAACTTACCTGGTTGACAGGAATTAAAGCCACACCTCAGCACACATGGAAGACCTTATAATAACTGAGCCTACGAGCACCTCAAAAATTCTCCATGTTCCTTTTGCTCTGAATGCATAGTTGGGACTGAGATTGACACGGGGACTAGAGCGATGAAAGAGCAGATTATCAGATGTGAGAATCACTGACATGATTCCAAAGGTTAGGAAAGAGAGTTGAACATTGATTACATAATAAAGGCAGCTGGGATGTCAGATTGGGTTCATCTTCAAGGGTCATGATCTAGAAGTAGAAAGAAAGAAGGGTTGGAGTAAGCAAACTGAGACGAAGAAATGCAAAACATCATTGTTCAGATTAAAATAGAAATTTATCTCTTATTCACATACTAACCCAGTAAAGACGGTCTCAGTTGAATCTGAAGAGTTGTTCAGAAACTCAGGCTGATGGCTACTTGGCCATTTTCAACAGTTGGTTCTCAGAGTCTGTCTGGGCTATGCCATTAAAATTGGAGAGACTGTACAAATATATGTGCATGAAAAGGTTCACAGACTGGGTCTGCCGGACACCCATTTCAAGTCTTCCCCACCTCTTAGACAGAAGTTAATTATCTGACTGTCACTAACAGCAAAAATGCAACCTTCCTGGAAAGCTCTGCATCCCTCTGCAAAACTCTGATGACTAGAACACAGTCTTTTTTCAGGAATTGTGAGTCCCTGGGCATCTGGTGTGTACCAAATATTCCAGCAGCTACTTCACATACATTTTCCTATCTCATCCTCAAAAAACTATCGGTGTAGTAGGTATCCAACTGTTAGTTTTCAGTAAGGGAAGCTGAGGTCCAGAAGATGTGAAAGTCAATCAAATACTATAATCTTCTTCTTTAAAATGGCAGGTATTAATCATGCATTTACTTTGTTTAAAGTGTTCTTTATGACTCAGTACTGATTTTAATTGATTTACTGTGGTTTCACCAAAACCTCCAAACTTTAGTCCTTGGAATGTATGTATTGTTACCATACAATGGCCAAAGGCCTTTATGGATGAGTTTTGAGACTTTAAAATAGAATATTCTGAATTGGATAGGTGGGCTGAATATAACTATCTGTGCCTTGAAAGCAGAGTTTTCTCTTTCTAGAATCAGAAGTAGAAATCAGAAAGACTCTCAGGGAAAGCAATTGGCACTCTCTTGCAGCTTCTGAGATGCAAGGGCTCTGAGAAGGGACCATAGAGGCCTCTGGGAACTAAGGGAGAGCTCTGGACAGTTGGAAAGACAACAGGAACATTTCCCTGCACATGAACTCTGCAAGCAACCTTGACAGCCAGTTTCCTCCCAAGCCTCCAAAGGGAACATAGCTCTACTGGTACCTACAGGTCATTTTTGAGAGACCCTAAGGAGAGATGGCTAGTCAAGTCATGCCTGAATTTTCTGACCAACAGAAGCTGTGAGATAACGAAAAGGTTTTTTTCTAAGCCACTAAATGGTCATTCCTTTCAGCCGTGAAAGAAAACTAATGCACTTCTCTAAATCTCTGAAAGTAAATGGTCTTATTTTAGTTCTTCGGATTAATGAAAACAAAATTCAGTGTAGAATTGGGGCTTGAATCTAGACCTTTTTGCCCCACTAAGACATCATGCTACTTTCTACGAGATGTTGAAATATCTTCTAAAATATACCTAGTGTTATGCAAATAAAAGGTATGTTTATGAGTACAGTATTGGAGTAATATTTATTCCATGAATATAATTTGATTTTAAGAGTAAATAAGTGATAGTAGAAGATAGAAATATAAAAGTAGTTTTCAGTTTATTTTCAAGTTTAAAAGAAAACAAGACACAGCTATTAGGTTAATTATGCCCTTTTAAAAAATTAAACAAGCCCAGTTTTGTCTGTATAAATAATTAAGAGATTCATTTGAGTTCTGACTTGGAGACCAGATCAAATTAAAACCACAGAGGCAGACAGTTTAATCTATCTTTTGTTTTCTGAGGTATTATATTGCTCTTTTGGTCTGACAGGTAGATAAATTACTTTTCCTTGCTCAAGAATTCCCTAATTATACAATATATGAGAGAAACAGACATTAAATGTGGTAAAAGATAAGTGAGCATTTGAGATCTTATGAGAATACATCAGAAGTACAACATGGAATTTACATATAAGAGATGATAATGGCTTTGTGATACTTTATGATGATGAATTTTTGCAAATAGTACAGAACAGTGCTACTTAGTGTCCATTTGGAATCTGCCTGCAGGGAGCAACAAACTGAGGCTGGGATTCTTAATACACATTAAAGATCCTTGTTTCAGTTTAGCATATAAAATCACTTGTTCTTCTCTAAATCCTAGCCCTAATTTCCAGAGCATGGCTGATCACTTGTGCAGGTTGCATTTAGGTTATTCAGGTGAAAGTGCGCCTGGGCACAGTGACTTGTCTTCTTGTACCTCTGTGCTCTGTCCCCAAATTCAATATTCCAAGTGCATTTTCTCTGTGAAAGAAATAATATCAAGCAGACAAAGAAAGTGAAAGTCTCCTTACTTTTCCAATTTATGAAGACAATGTAAAGAAAGTTGGTTAAAATGAAGACAGAAAAAAAAGAAGAAAGAAAAAACTGGTGTGGAACACTTATTTCAAAGAAATGAGGAATTCTGTTTCCTTTATGTCTTTGCTTGTGCATCTCTGGTTGACCTAACATTTGCTTTCTCTCTCCTTCCAACAGGAGTACTATGACAAAGGAGATTATATCATTAGAGAGGGTGAGGAAGGAAGTACTTTTTTCATTTTGGCCAAAGGAAAGGTAAATATTAATTATAGAGTAAAGTAAAAAAAGTTTTTATTAAATTAGTTGGCCTTAAACACAATAGTGCTCTAATAAGAACTTCTCCACATTGAATACCAAATGAGCTTTGCCCAGAAGCATCTTACGGCCCTCTGTTAGAGGGCTTTGCTTGCGGGGAGGACATGGGAGACTCGTGATGGGCTCCAGCTGAGAGGTGACATTTTAGCAACCTTAAACAACTCACTTGACTTTTTGGACTTAGTTTCCTTGCATAATGACTGGGCTATTTCTGAAGTCCTTCTACCTCTAAGTATGTGACTCTCAGTAAGTCCAAAGATCCAAGAACACAGCTGTATTTTTCCATCCAATGACAGTGACAATAAGCAGGTACAAGGGAAAGAAGATGGCAAATGATAATGGTCATGGACAGGTATCAAGCTAGAAAACCAATATTGCTCAGAATTTCAATTCATAATCAATAGTCTGAGTCAATTTAGATGTTGATCAAATATTGCACCAAACACACACACACACACACACACACACACACACACACACACACGCATGCACACGCACACACACAGAGGTTTTTTGCTTTACCTAGCTATTGAGTAACATGTTGTGTGTTATTTCTGTGCTGATTGTTGCATTCCTCAAAGACAAAAAACATTTGTGAAGTATTAAATGGAAGTGTCAAAAATTGATCCCTTGTGTCTTTACACTGTTGGAGACTTACATATTGCTCCATCTTCCCTGGAAGAATTTATTATGATAGAATCTGTCCCTGCCTTCCTTAAACAGGTTTGTGACTGAACTTTGAACTGAGTCCCCAGTGAAGGAAAAATTTGAATGAAAGAGTGTCTGATCTTTGAAACTCTTCAGTAGTGGCAACTTCTTCTTATCGTAGCTCCCCTACTGGACACCCTGCTTTGAAGGAATTTTGGCTAAAAAAGAATTTGCATTTATTGTAGTTATTTTAAAATTTTTAATTCATCATGATATACATAAATGTCAATCAGAATTTCCAGCCAGCGTGAGAAAAGTGTTAACACGTTGAATTGGAATAATTCTAAGCTCAAATAGCAGATACTGTATTGAAGACTTTGACTTTGTGGTAAAGGTTCTCCTTGAGCCATGGTTCATTGTGAGATACCCACAAGGTTGTGGACTATTCTCCAACTCATTTTTTTTTTTCGTCTTTTTCCTTTTTATCGGTACCAGGGATCAAACTCACGACTGCTGGCTTGCAAGGCAGGCGCTTAGGCCGCTGAGCTAAATCCCCAGCCCCCTCCAACTCATATTTTGCATTCCATCTTCCATCATATTTTGTAGAGTGTGGCCCAGCTGTGGACACCACACTTAGAACCCTGGTTACTCCACGTTATTCTTAATAAATCTATCAGTTCTGCCAGGTTTTTTGAAGCAATGAAAGTTCTCACAAGACCATCATCATTCTCTTTGAGGATGTCTAGGAAGGAATCACTGGATTATTTTTAATCGTCTTGTTAGAGGAGGTTTGAAGGAGACTCAGAGGGTAGTCATTTGATTGTATTAAAACAGGAGATTATTCAGACTCAGTTAAGTAAGTTGAGTAAGTTAATTGTCCTGTGTAATTCAGAAGTGAAACTGCCTCTTATTTTTTAAAATTTCTTTATCAAGTTTATATACATCTGCAGAGTTTGGTTGAATGGATATTTGTTCAGATATTTTTCTTCTTTTATTTTTGTTTAATATTGTTTAGGTAAAAGTCACGCAGAGTACTGAGGGTCACGATCAACCACAGCTGATAAAAACACTACAGACAGGAGAATACTTTGGAGAAAAAGCTCTCATCAGGTGAAGCTACACATTTCTATATTATAACTAAGTAAAATGCTTGGGCTGTTTTGCATGAGAAACTACTTATTTAGAGTTGAACTACCAAATTAATGGCAACAAATATCCACAAGTTAAATACAGATTTTCAACTGGTTTTGAAAAAAAAAATCACTGTTTGTAGGAAATAAATATACTAATTTTGCACATGAAAGCTAGACTAAGGTTTTCAGAATTTTTAGTCTTAAAAAGTCAACTTTAAAAGTGGAAAATTATAGTTTAAAACAACAATAATAAGTTTTTATTTTCCTATAGGTTGAAATGATGTCCTGTTCAGAGATTTTAAAAAAACAAAAATTAAAAAAAAAAAACAGATATTGACATGTCAAAAGTAATGTGTTTTTAGGTATTTTTATCAGTTCATCTTGGAATCTCATTTTTAAAAAGACTCAAAATAATATATTTGAAATTTCTACTTGAAAGTTCATTTTTTTGAGGTAGGAGTTTATTCATCATTGATCTAATTTACGGTAGAAATGTTTTTAATGATTAATCTGGAGGCTGAAGGGAAGTTTTTTACTTCCTGAAACTCATAAAACCTTATGTCTGAAGAATTATTCTTCTAAATATAAATACTTTATAAACATAAAATTAAAGTGGGGCAGCATACTTTTTAAAAGAATTGCATATGTTTTCAAGTACTTCAAGTAATTTAAGACATCATTTATGATTTATTTATGACTAGTTATATTTTAAATTTATGCTTAAAGGTGCAGTATTTCTGTTTATTTATCTTCTTAACTTTAGTTTATGAAGTCCCAGGTCTGCTGATTTATATGACAGGTTTACATAATTATAGAGCAATGAAAAAATATTCAGAAATTACCTGAAGACAAATTGGATTACCCAAAAATTATAAAACTCTTATTAAAGAAAACCAAGTGCTAAAACTTAATAAATTATGTTATAGCTATTATGTAGGTAATTTAAAAGTGGAATTTAAAGACAATTTAAACAACTCATTCCCATTTTCTAGTTGGTAATAAACTTGTTTCAATAGTAGGAGAACTATCTTCCTTTTTATGCACTATCATACTATAATAGTATCATCTAATGCTTCAATGCTTGGTTCTTTACATTTAAGCTGTATTTTTTGTATGTTCCTAAGTGAATCAAGTAAAGTTTGGAAGTGTATAGAACTTTATGAAACAGCTCTTGGAAGGAAATGTGTTATCTGTTTTTGCTGGACCAGAAGTAATGTATGCTGTGTGTTCTAGCAAGCCAAGTATAGTGTTTTCCTACAAGAAATGTGAGAATTTGTGTTTATGTATGGACACCCAGCTTCCCAAGGCAATGAGGGTATAAAATAAAGATAAAATAAATGGGAAGGAAATCTGGGAACAACCTTTTTTTGTGTTTATGCATGTTTATGCCATCACTTTTTAGAGCTGCTGCTTGTGACTCCATATTCCTTATGTTCTGTATATTTTCATGATGACATTAAATAGTCCCCTGAGTTCTTTCAGGATTTTTTTTGTGCAAAAATAAGTCCATGGCACTTACACAGTTACTATGAAAGGAATATAAGTCTATTCGTGAACATTTAATACTTATAAAGGGTATGCAGAGTATGTTCGTACTGCAAGTCATTGTAGTACTTTGTGAAATGACTTCTATAACTCTTTCTCTGAATTCACAGATGCAATAGTTGGTCCATAACCCGAGATCCTCTCTGTATCTAGACTTAACCTGCATTCATCTCCACCATCCTATTCCTATTCTGTATCTAGACTTACCTGCATTCATCTCCACCATCCTATTCCTATCTTTTTATCTACATGCCTATCTACCTTTGTGTCTAACTACACAAATACAAGTTGAGCACAAACTGTTCTGCTTTTGGCTCAAAAGTCCATTTGGTGAAATATTTTCCCTGCTGTCTTCTAGCAAGGATTCTATAAACTGGGGAGGAACTGGAATTATATCTGGTTTCTGAATGTCAGCTGAGTAGATAGGGAACTTTTTTGGGATGGTAGCAATGGGTGCCAGAGTGCTTTCTGTCCCGCTTACTATGACAGAAAGGAGAAGGACTTGAGCTTGGGTGTTGCATTTTTGATGAAGCTGCCCAGAACGGTCTCACTGGTTACTACTGCACTGATTTCCACTGCTCCTAGTATACCTCACACAAATCTCTAAGTTCTGTCTGTCATAAGGGCACATCTTTTTAGCGTCTTTAATTTATAACTAAAGTTTCTAAACAAGTGCTTTACTTGGTGCTTGACCCATTGGTAGTCATTAGAAAATTAAATTTATCATCAGATCATATACCATACAATAATTCATCATATCTAAAATATCAATTGTAAGATATACCATTACATTATGTACTAAGAAGGACAGTGATGATAATTATACTCCAGCTCATTATCACTCATAATTCATTCACTGATTGCAGAGATTTTAATGGAAAAATATACATTTTACATAATAAAAATATTTTTGTACTTAGCTGGAAGATATAAAATGTTTTCATTTTAAGATTTTTCAACTTTATTTGGTTATATTTCTAACCAGTTTATCATATGTTAATCTCTTGACTGTTTTTCCTCTAAGTTTCTCTGATCAGTTTACCACTGTGTTGCCTTCTTGTTAATTAGCAATTCTGCTTCATTCAAGACAGAGATATTTTATTTTGCCTGTCACAGAGCTTAGGACAAGACTTCACACACAGTTGTAGTCAGTGATTCCTGGTTCTAGTTCAGTTTTCTCTAAGTTCCTTGCATACAGAAAATTTATTGTACACATTTCAAATCCTTTTTTTTCCTATTTTTTGAAAGGGGTCGCATGTTAATTACCATGTTATAAAACGTGCAGTCTTTAGAAAGCTTATGGGAGGGCTATGCTTTTATATAAAGTAGTAGATGCTCTAGTAAATATGGGTATTTAACATGGAACTATTAAAAGCTGACCTTTTTTTTCTGTCTCCAGTGATGATGTGAGATCTGCTAACATTATTGCTGAAGAAAACGATGTTGCTTGCCTGGTAATTGATCGAGAGTGAGTAGTCTGATATTGTTGGAAAAGATAGGCTGTTGCCACCTTTGAAAACTTGGCCTTCTGTTTCTCTGAGGGCTGATGTGTTTGCTCATTCATCACCACTTAGAAATGCTAGCCAATCCTCAGCTGAGAGTGCATCCTATTAAAATTCATGAGAGGAACTGAGCTTTCTGATCTGAATCTGTGGCAGTGGCAGATGCTGGCAGGCAAAATATTTTGTGTGCAGAATTTGTACATAAATATCACCAATAGACTGATTTAAATTTTACAACTTCCACAGAAACACACTTATTAATGCTCTCATGGGTTTTTAAAATACAAAATAAAGAACAATTGCATAATTTATTTCTAAAATGCCTTTAGCACTCAAAAATATTAACCAAATACTCTCTAAGTATAAAATATTTACCAGCTATTTATATTTCCAGAGAAGTGTTAACATTTGTAAGTGATGTGTATCAGTACTGATGACTAAAATTCTTATTTTATAGAGTGATTCTCATTTTCTATCCTTCACTGACTTCGTCATGTTTTAACGTGGCCTCTTCTAGCTCTCATTAATCAGTTATTTATTGGTTATGAGATACAATAAAGAAAACTCAAATATACCCAAACTAAACCATTGTCCAAGAAAAGCCATATGTGGTCAACTAAATAGTGCATACTCATGAAATACTAAAAAAAAAAAAAAAAAAAAAAAAAAAACCAGTAAGATTGTAAAGGAGTGTCACAAGAGGATGTGTAGTTGACTGCTGATTAAGTACGACATTTACTGAAGATAGACTCACAGAGATGTAGAGCTGGAAATAACTTCAGAGCTTTAAAATCCTTTTATAATGTAAAATTTAAAACACTGAAAAATAGATATAATGGCATCGTGAACCCCCTTATACAAGTTCAACAATTCTCACTTTGTATCTTGTCTGTACCCCTTACCACTCTGTGCCATCTTCTGACCTCTCCATCAAATTACAAGTATGAAATAATATCATGTTTATATTTAATAGTTTCTCTAAAAGCCGCATATCATTTATAAATCTGACCATAATAATACTGACATATCTAAAAAGTTCATAGTAATTCTTCATATCACTTAGAGTTGTTTTAATGCTCTCTTTTACAAATAAGAAAAGCAAGTCCCTAAGAGGTTAAAGAATTGTGCCAATGGGGCCATCTGTGATCAAGTAGGGACTGTTACCCGGGCTTCCTAACTAAGTTCTGCACAGTTGCATACATGCGTGGTGGCTCTCACAACAGCTGCTCAGAAACGGCTATGTAGGCAATACTTCAAGGTTGATTTTATTTTGCAAGTGTACAAATGGGGCTTAAAGAATTAACAGGATGTTTGTAAGCAAAGAGGTAATGTGAAGTCACTCTAGATGAAGTAAAACTGCAAAGCAAAGGCACAGAGCTAGGAAAGTGCAAAGCATGTTCAGATAAATGTAATTTTTAGATGCCAACTCTCAAATGGAAAATGTATTGGTACAGTATTGTTCCAGTAATGAATTACTTTGTATGCATTACTTAAAAGTATGTGCATGCACAAAATAGCATTAGCTCTGTGGTATAATTTCTGGGACAAAAATTTGATAGAAAAGTAGAGCTCTTTTCTTCATTACAATGCATACATAAAATATTTATGTAATATCTCATAATCCATAAAACATACAATAATATTGTTTTATAAATTATTTTAAGTTTATCATTTTAAAACATTTAATTCCCATGCATATCAATGGATGTCTGTAATATATATTTGGTACCATAAAAGGTTAAAATGTTTTGTGGCTTTATTTTGTGGGTCAGAGATACTGAGTCAGGTATGGCTGGGCTGATCTACGTCCTAGATTTCCTGGAACTGTTAGAAGCATATTTATTCTTGGCATCTCCAAAAAGTATCCCAGATTGGAAGATAAATGATAACCATCTACGACTTAGAGCAGAGAAGATTAAAATCCTGAAAAATGTTCCCATAGCATGCTGTGTACCCTAATTGTGCCATTATTGCCACTTTGTGTTGTTTAACATCTGTCTTCCTATGCTTCTTATAAGCTTTAAGAATTCTGAAACATGTGACTTGTGCACTGTTGCTGTAATGACATCTGCCACCATCCTCAGCACATGGGAAGGGCTTGCCAGATGGTGGCTCTGTAAAGGCTGCCATCCTTGCAATGCCATATGCTGACTGCAAACTGCACACCTATAGATCCTTAATTCTTTCCTGGCTCATGATTTTAACAAACATTTAACACTGTCATGATGGGGCTTTAATTTGTATCCTTTGAAACTTAGATGCTCTGATTTGAACTCCATCTTCTGAGGTTAAATGGCTAACACATGGTCATTCAGAATGTCCATTGGTCAGTCATGCATGTACCACCGGTGATTCAAATTGGTGGAAATGTGTTTTTAAAATATCTATATTGAAAGAGGGAAGTTAGTTATATTTCCTATTCTTTTTTTGAGACAGGGTCTTACTATGTATATCAGGCTGGTCTTGTGCTCACTTTGTAGCTTTGACTGGCCTTGGACTTTGGGTGACCCTATTGCCTCAGCTTTCCTAGTACTAGGATTACTAGCGTGCACCACTAAACTCAGATAATATTTTCGATTTTTAAAACTTTGATAAAGTATGTGAAATAATAATATGGTAAGAGCTGTAAGCAAACCAAGTGTTTGTTATTGGTGACAAAGCCACCCTTTTAGATTCGCTTGTATAGATCTCAAAGGAGTTAATTAGTTATCCTAGGGGCTCTGACATATGAATGAATGTTCAGGCTATTTTAAAGTTGCAGTTACATTGTGGTAGCTATTGCAGTTTGGCTTCTCTTTTGCTTTTTCTTTCCTTTCTGTTTTTTTTTTTAAATGGGAAATCAAACTCATGACCTTGCCCTTGCTAGGCAGGTGCTTATGCCATTGAACTATATCCTTGGCTGCAATTTGCTTTAAGATTAGTTAGCAGATGACATCTAGGGACCTGTGGCACCAGTGTCATTTACATTAAAAATAAAATTTGTTGACAGTAACACTTCAGTTAGCTTAGTAGTAAGCAAAATACTGGTGAAGGATGGAGTAAATAAAACAAAAAGTATAAGCAGAAGATGGCAGAGTGGTAAGCAGCAGAGAAAACAGCCTCTCTGAGAGTCACTCTCCAGACGTGGAATATAGTATTCTGAGGAAGACAAGAAGGAAGGAAGTGGATCTCCAGGACCCAGGAAGAATCTGAAGTGAGAATTGAAGCCCACAGAGATTGTGAAAAGAAAAACTTCAAGGAAGAAGAAGGCTGTAACTGGTAGTGCCTTTGCTCTGAGATGGGACTCACTGTGTGAGAGGAACTGTTTGAACCTGGGGACACATGGACATGGTGACAGTGATGGCTGGTGACCCGGGAGGCCTCTGCAGAGAGACAGGGCAGTGGAGGGGAACAGCAGATATGGAGGACTGCACTGGTTGGTGCTTTTGATCCTGGTATTCCATGACTGACATTGACCAAGAAAATACAGTGGCATAGTGCCAAGGAACCAGAGACTGGACCAAACAAACAACAACCTCTCATTTTCAACAAACTGAAGAGGTATGATCTAACAGACTTAGAACCAGAAAACCAGCTGCACCTGGAAGATACCTCAGAAATGTAATCATCATTTCAGGGTCATAAATACTACTAATGAAGCAACCTACCATAGGCAGTTTACAAGCATCATCCCAGGAATTAAACTAAAAAAGAGAGAAAATAGAATGAGAAGGCATTTAAGCAAAATGCAACCTCAGACATCCAGTTCCCAAAGGCAAAAAAGGGCAGTCGGAAAGCCCCGCATGAGGTCAGTTTGAAGTGGTAACAACAAAGCAATTGAATGAGGCTCTGGAAAAAATGAAATAAGAAATAATCTCTCAGATAAATACAGAGATTACCAAAATACACACCATGCTTAGCAACATTAGAGCAGACACAGACAAAATAATAAATAGACAAGCTTTAGAAAATTGTGGAATCTCAGCATTGGGAAAAAATGGAATCTATAAAGCAGATTCAGGAAGATATTCAGGAGAATAAAAACTCCAAAGTATTCAAAGCAGATTAGGCCAATGTGAGGACAGAATCTCAGATATTGAAGACAGGCTTGCAGTTAGCAACAGGAAAAGCAAGATTTCTCAAAAATAGAAAAGGAACATGAGAAATCAATTCATCAGCTGCTAGATGAGGAAGAATAACTTAAGGTTTATTGGAGTCAATGAAAAAGCAGGAAATACCACAAATGACATTAAAAAATATTCACAAAAATGATGTCAGAAAACTTCTTTGGTAGAGAAAAATAATTTGACATACAAATAAGTGAGGTATATAGAACTATAATTATCAATGATAAAAAAATTTACAGCCAACCATAACATAGTCAAGATTCCAGAAATTCAACACAAGAATCCTAAAAGCTGTTAGAGAAAAGAAATGCATTCACCTATAAAAAGAAAGGCCATTGGAATTACAACTGACTTCTTAGCACAAATTCTCAAGTCAAGGAAAGCTTGTAGTGAAATACTCCAAGTTCTAAAGGAAAGCAGTATTCAATCCAGATTGATATACCCTAAAAAACTATCTTTCAAAATTAATGGAGAAATAAGATACTGAAAAAGAACATCTGAGGAAATTTATGACCACCAAACCAGCATTCCAAAATGTTTTGAAAGATATTCTAGAAGGAGATAATATGGATTGCAGCTCCATGAATCCCAACAGAAGGAATCTACCAGGGAAAGCAAACAATTATAGGGGGAAAAAAGGGGGGGGTGGCCAACAACAGGAAAGTAACATGACAAGGATAAGTCAATATATATCAGTTTTGACCATCAATGTTAGTGATCTCAGTTCGCCAATGAAAAGTCACAGACTCATAAAGTGGATCAAAAAGCAAGATCCAACAATAGATTACATACAAAAAACAACATTTAATTAAAAAAGAAATTCATAGACTGAAAGTCAATGGATGGAAAGCAATACTCCA